TACTTAACGATTACACAACCTAGTCGCACCACAGCTGAGGTGCGTAACGGAAAAATCCTCAGCAAAGCAGCAAGCGAAGAGAAGCAAGGCTTATAAGACGCCTGAGTTTTCAGCTAAAGAGCTCCTGTCATACTTCATTCAAGTGCTGTTTAGCCAAGCCAATCAACGTAAGACGTTGTGAAGGAAGAACGAACCTAAGACTACAAAAAATTCCGACCTTGAAAGACAAGTTTTTCAGCGCACAGCTAATCCAATTCTTTGAGAAGAAGTCGAGTCTCTGTGCGAGAAATGGCGAAGCCTTATGCTATAACTTAGGATCCATCTCTTGTTCTAAGCCGAACTGCTGCTAACTCGACAAATTTTAGTTACACCCGAAAAGGGTATTTATATTGCAACAACCTAATATAGTATCTGAAAGTATCTGAATATCTTCGAAACGAGTAGTTCCTGAACTTTAGCGCCCCATATACACTTCAATGATTTTATTCCCTCTCGACAGAGGTCTGGTATAAGATGGTTGGTTTAAATGGATGGAAGCCTTCGCTTACCTAGGAGATTCCATCCGGGATTCGACCTCCGGAGTGGGGAAGTGGCGTCACTTGTTACTACACCACCTTCGATAATTGCTAAGCAATGTGTTAACACATTGCGGACCGCCCGTTGTACATTATCTCCGTGCCTTTTTTATGTTTTTCGAAAATGAATGATCTTTTATCTATCAACAATTCCATGAAATGTGTTGTCTCCAGCTCTGAAAAACGAGTGCAAACAGATCAGGAACATTGAGAATTGTCAAATCAATCATATAAAAAGCTTGAATCGCACGCAGCACGTAATGTATTAAAATACAAAAATTGTGCTTCCTAAGAAGGGTTCTTCATGCTTCCCAAGTGTTTTCAGGGCCGCTCAAACAAAATCGCATTCCTGTGTTTCACATCCGTACCCCAATAACATGCAAAAAGATCCATTTTGAATAGACTCTCAGTCTCCTCCACGAACTTCTTGATCCACGCACATGTGCCATCAAATAGCATCAGAAGCCTCAAAAAGCTTATGTGACATCATTTTTGCGAGACAATCGCCACTGGTCTGCAACTAGGCCAGGCCGTGCCATGGGAAGCGGACTATAGTTCATTTTAGTGCTGATAAGCAATCTCACAAAAAAGGAAATATTATATGGGCATCCCTTGCTGGGAATATTTCATTATTTTCAATTAATCTTTTAGGTTTTCGTGGTTGGCGACACACTGGGAGGTTTGTTGCTCTACGAGGCGCTGACTAAATATGATGTGAA